CAGCGCTACCAAACTTGGGCTCATTTAGTACTTTTAGTCCGACACAAGGGTCTCTTGATCCCCATCTTAAAAATGGAGAAATTGAGACCCTAAGAGGTCAAGCACTTGGCCCCAATTCACCAGCTGATAAGGGACAGAGCCCAGGGCATTTCTGCTACGGCCTGTTTCCATTTGCCAACTAAGAAAAAGGGTCAGAAACAGAAGGACAATGACTCCAGGAACTTTGTTCTTAAGCTTTTGTAAATACTCAGTGCCTGTTATCTTGTTCTTCCTTATTTTTCTTCAGCGATTAACAGTGAATCTCTTAACATAAAAAAGGGTCTTTGTGTTCTGGGAGGCAGAAGGAAAAGCTTGCTGGGGTAGCCGGTCCTGGGAAAGGAGGAGGGTGGCCAATGGCGGGGGAGTGCGGGAGCTCCAGTGCACGAGAGGAGGAGGGAAGCAGAAAGGGGAGGAGGCAGAGTCCTGGGCCCGCTGGGCCTCCCCCAGACCCTGCACTGCCTGGCACTCCTCACAGGGGCCCAGCTGCGAGCAGGGGGCTTCCCAGCAGTCCTTGCCTCATGGGCCATCAGGTCTCCTAGATCCCAGTGATAGGCTTCCCTCTCCCCAACTTGCCAGCTTTTGCAGCCTGAGCCCCAGAGCCCGTAGGCACTGCGCAGACCCCTGTCTTACCTCCAGTGGTTCTACCTGTGCCCCAGCCTCTTTTCTTCCCTTAGCCCTGAGGCCCAAGGAGTCCAGGATGTGGTCTTGTTTAGTCTCTTCTTCCCCACCATCCTCTACGGATTTTCTCTCTCTGCAGGAAAGGGAAGGGAAAGAACAAGAACACAGTGGATGGGGTTGGATGGAGACACAATGGAGCTGAAGAAATCTGAGTGTCCTCCAAAAATCCTAGCCCTGTCATGTCCATCACCATCATGGTGAGGGATCATGTTTATTGGGCTCTTACCATGGGCCAGGCATCACCTCACTCAGCACTCCAGAATGTCCCAGAGTCCCAGGTCACACAGGCAATCCCTGGCAGAGCCAGCCCCACAGTGTGCCTCCTGAGCTGTGCCAGAACCCCCACGGCGGGGCATCCTGCCTGCTGTGGTCCTGTCCCAAAGGAGAACAATTTATCCTCTGGCCATGGAGCCTTGAAGCCGACCCGATTAATACAAATGCTTCCTCCCCTTTGCTGCTCTGGCATTCCACTTCCTGTCACGGGCACATCCTTTAATGGGCCTGGATCCCCTGATCTGATGCTTTCATCCCCTCCTCAGCTTAATGAAGTGTCTGTCTCAGGTAGAAAATGACACCAGGTCCTCATGCCCCCACCTGTTGGGGTGACCTGAGTTGGGATTTGAGCTAAGGTACCATCTCAGCTAATCCCATGCTTGCTCTGTGCCTCTGCAGAGGGATGACTACCCCTTCTCTCCCCAGACAACTTAATAGCACAGATAGAACCTGCAAATGCTCAGGGGTATTGCAGACTTACAGACAGCTGGGGAACAGGCCACTGCATTACCCCCAGCCAGGCTCTTGAACCCCAGGACCTGGGCATCCTCCGAGAGACTTGTGGGGCCCTGGTGGCCACAGGCTCTGAGCTCCACCAGCAGATGGGGAGCTGCTGCCCGAGAAGCAGCAGCTCCCCATCTTGGACACCCAGAGGTTGAAGAGGACTAAGCAGCCTGGGAGGATCACAGCCTGTAGGGAGTGGTGCCAGGGGTCCCAGGTTACTAATTCAGGACCTTGTTCACCACTGGATCCTCAGCATCAGCACCATGCCAGGTACAAAAGAAGGGGCAATAGACTTTTAAGTCTGTCTCCCTGCACAGGACCGGAAAGGCGTGGGCTCAACCCTGGGGGTGTGGACATACTGCCATAGAGTCCAGAAACCTGTCAGGTCCAAAAGTCATGAATGGAGTGCTTTGAGCTGCTCAGGAGTCAGGTATCAGACCCCTCTGAGACTGATCTTCACCGAACTCCTTACTTGCGAATGGAGACAGGTGAATAAGGGCTTCCACCCTGGGGCCGAGAAACAGGTCTGACCCTCAAAGGAGACAGACTTCTCATTCGCACATCACTTTCTACAGTTCTCATGGCCTGGTGCACGGAAGCCACACGTTTGTCCAGGCTTCCTGACTCTTCACACACATAGACCTCCATCTCCATGTTGTCCCCTCCACTCGGTGGGAAAGGTTTAACTCTGCAGATGAGGAAAGGTTAAATGCTCTCATCAGGGATAGAAACCCGGCAGGGATAGAAACCTGGACACTGGTCTGGACCTCAAATACCTCCTCAAGACATTTTCCAAGTTATAGTGCTTTTTTTTTTTTTAAAGATTTTATTTATTTATTTGACAGAGAGAGACACAGCGAGAGAGGGAACACAAGCAGGGGGAGTGGGAGAGGGAGAAGCAGGCTTCCTGCCGAGCAGGGAGCCCGACGCGGGGCTTGATCCCAGGACCCTGGGATCATGACCTGAGCCGAAGGCAGACGCTTAACGACTGAGCCACCCAGGCGCCCCAAAGTTATAGTGCTTTTAACTTTGGTGGAGAGATTCTTGTCTCTTCTGCTGGATTGAAGGCTCTGGGTGGGCAACAAAGAGTTTTGTATCTTTACTTCACTGAATCTGTTTTTTTCCCTTTTTTTGGTAAGATTTTACTTATTAATTTGACAGAGAGAGAGAGAGAGCACAAGCAGGGATGAGGAGCAGAGGGAGAGGGAGAAGCCAACTCCCCGCTGAGCAGAGAGCCCAAGGGGCTGGATCATGACGAGCTGAAGGCAGACGCTTAACCCTGACTGAGCCGCCCAGTGGCCCCGTTGAGTCTGTTCTATTCATCTAAGTATGCACGTGAATGCAATGGTGGATGAGTGGAATTAAATGAACTTTAGCAGAAACTAATTCTTCCTACCAGACCCTCACCACCCCTCCCACTTTTACCCAAGTATCTCAACAGCTTATTTTTTCCTTCGCTTTGTTGGCTTGTCGTTGGACTCAGTGTATACATAAAGAGCTCTGAGCACAGACAGTTTGAAAAGGGCAAAATAAAAATAGCCGATTAGTCGATAATAGAATGGCAAAGTCTCTAAGTACCATGGGGGAGGGCCTTAGTCTTAAAGCTGGCTGGAAAGAGATGAGGTGGGGTGGGCAGAAGCCTCTCTTGAGAGCTGGGCTTTCTCTGAGGTGATGGCAGATGGTTCCTCCTGGTCAGTGGAGATGGGAGGGAACAGCCAGTCAAAGGTTCTTTCTGCTTTTGTTCTGTCTTGGCCAGTGCCCATCCCGAGGCTCCTGTTCCTTACCAAACTGGCCTGCTAGATGCTCACTGTGGAATGGGAAGTGAGGTGCCTACCTGCAAGGGACTGCTTCAGTCTCGCCTAGTATGCAGGACCCTCTACCCCTGCTAACAGTACTTAGCTAAATCAGGCCTCTCTACCACCACGTCCCCTCCCATGACACTGTACCTGATTGTTCCTCTCTGCTTAGGCTCTTTCTGGCTGGTATTGATTGTTGCTTTTATTGGCAAGCAGTATACCACGAGAAAAATAAAACACAAGTGTTTGTGCAGGGAGAGTAAAATGGCTTCTGTGTCTCCAGGGCTGGCAGAATACTTGCTCTGAGACCCAGTGGTCAACCTGGTACCTGATTCTCCCCTCAGTGCACCTCTGCAATTATTGTAAGGACGTTTGTCTGTCTGTCTCCTTCCCCTTGACAGGGCAGGCGGCTGTGGTCTTCCCCACACCTCCTAAGTGCTTAGTGCTCAATTCCTAGTTGCTAACTGACACCAAGGTAGGGCCTTCCAGGAAGCAGTCATTTCAGGGCTAGGCCTGGCGCCACACCTCTCAGCTCATTTTCACGTGTCTGCCCCAGCTGGCCAGTCACCACCACAATTGGGGGTTAGGGGTTTGGTCCCGTAGGGCAGGCAACAACATCAGCTACATAGAACATTCAGAGTTCTCCTGTCCTGTTCAATGCCTAGGCCAGTTGTTCCCATAAGCTTGGAGAGGTGGTGCCCTATTATTATTCTTACCCCCATTTTAGAGCTGAGACACTCCAATGTGCCTTACCAGTCACACAAGCCTCTTCTTAAAATAGCAATGTGGGGGGACTCCGATTTGTGCCCAGGTTCAATTTCTTCATCTGTTATATGGACAAATAACACTACCTCTTAGGGTTGTTCAAAGGATACTTGTTGATGGTCTGTTTCTGCTCTTGACTGTAAAAAGTGGGCAGGGACTTTGGCTTATTCACTGCTACATTGTCAGAGCCTGGAACAAGTGTCCACCCGGCACATAGTGGGTGCTCAATATTTGTGTCCTAAATGGAAATGGCATGAAAAGAGCCTGGGCCAGATCCTGACGCTTCCATCTGCTAGTACCTTCTATATCCTTAGTTCCCCAGATTCTCCTCCCACCAGGTAGTCAGTGGCCGAGGGGTGTCGGCCTGGGGGCTAGGCCCCGGGAACCTACTTCTGGCCTTGGGACAAGGTCGGCAACAAAACTCCCAGGCCAGAAAAGTCTCCAAGGGCCAGTGTGCCATTCCGGTGGACCTGAAGGCCTCAACCCTCAGGATCCCCTTTTCTTTCTTTATATCAGGAAAATCATCCACCACCCCCACCCCCGCCCGCCCCGGCCCAACGCCGTGCTGCTTCCGAGGTGCCTGCAGAGAAGGGCCACCCTGCCCCGAGCAACAGCTTTCTGGGGAAGGAGCCCAGCACGCGACGCCCGACTAGACTGCAGCAGAGGAACGGCGAGTCCAGGCGTGCAGGCCCGGTGCAGGAGACCCGGCCGCACCGACGCCCAGCAGGCCGGAAAGGCCGGCAGGAAAGGGCGTGCGAGGAGAAGGGCGGGGCGAGCGTCCGCCCGCGGCTCCCGCGCTCAGGCGCCGCGCCACCTTAAGCTCGGGACCCCCTTAAGGGCGGGCACTGGAGCCGCGCGCCCGGAGGCGGGGTCTCCCATGCAAATGAGGGGCGTGAGTCGGCGGGGCGGGGCGGGCGGGGCGCTGACCTGACGTCAGGCCGGCGGCCCGGGCAGTTGGCTCGGCGGCGGCGAAGCGGCAGGAGCGGCGGCAGCAGCGGGGCCGCGCGGCGGGGCGCGGGGAGCGGCGGCGGCCGAGCCGGAGCAACATGGCGCCGGTGGGCGGGGGCGGGCGCCCGGGCGGCGGGCCGGCCCGAGGGCGCCTCCTCCTGGCGGCGCTGCTGCTGCTGGTGCTGATGTGGGCGCGGGGGGCCCGGGGCCAGGGCGACCCCCAGCGGGGCGCCATCCTGGGCATGAGGCTGGCGAGCTGCAACAAATCGTGTGGGATGAACGCGGATGGCATCATCTTCGTGTCCGAAGGCAGCACGGTGAACCTGAGGCTGTACGGCCAGAGGCTGGGCTCCATCTCCAGCAACCTGATCTCCTTCACCGAGGTGGACAACTCCGAGGCCATCCACAACTCCACCAACTGTCCCGAGCTCACCAAGGACCTGGTCGTCCAGCAGCTGGTCAACGTGAGCCGCGGGAACACGTCCGGGATGCTGGTGGTGCTCACTAAGTTCCTCCGGAGGAGCGAGAACATGAAGCTGTATGCGTTGTGCACCCGGGCCGGGGTGGATGGGCCCTGGCAGAGGTGGACCGATAAGGACTCGCTGCTCTTCATGGTGGAGGAGGCTGGGAGGTTCCTGCCCCTCTGGCTGCACATCCTCCTCATTATGGTGCTGCTGATGCTGTCGGGCATATTTTCTGGCCTCAACCTGGGGCTTATGGCCCTGGACCCCATGGAGCTGCGCATCGTGCAGAACTGTGGCACCCAGAAGGAGAGGCGCTATGCCCGCAAGATCGAGCCCATCCGGCGCAAGGGCAACTACTTACTCTGCTCGCTGCTTCTGGGAAACGTGCTGGTCAACACGTCCCTCACCATCCTTCTAGACAACCTCATCGGGTCTGGGCTCATGGCGGTGGCCTCTTCCACCATTGGCATTGTCATCTTTGGGGAGATCGTACCTCAGGCCTTGTGCTCCCGACACGGCCTGGCTGTGGGTGCCAACACTATCATTCTCACCAAATTCTTTATGCTAGTCACCTTCCCCCTCAGTTTCCCCATCAGCAAGCTCCTGGATTTTGTTTTGGGCCAGGAGATTCGCACCGTTTACAACCGGGAGAAGCTGATGGAGATGTTGAAGGTAACGGAGCCCTATAACGACCTGGTGAAAGAGGAGCTAAATATGATCCAGGGTGCCCTGGAGCTACGGACCAAAACCGTGGAGGATATCATGACCCAGCTCCAAGACTGCTTCATGATCCGCAGCGATGCCATTCTGGACTTCAATACCATGTCAGAGATCATGGAGAGCGGCTATACCCGCATCCCCGTGTTTGAAGACGAGCAGTCCAATATTGTAGATATTCTCTATGTCAAAGACTTGGCCTTCGTGGACCCTGATGACTGCACCCCCCTCAAGACCATCACCCGCTTCTATAACCACCCAGTGCATTTCGTCTTCCATGACACCAAGTTGGATGCCATGCTGGAGGAGTTCAAGAAGGGTAAGGCCTGATGGAGCTCTCCCCATTCACTGGCTTTGTGACGCTTCTCGTTCCCTTGCCTGTTCTGTGTCGGCTGGTCTTAAGTGTTTTGGTGTGACTGTCCCTTTGCCCATCGCTTCCTGTGCCTCTGAGGTGAATGGCATTTGGGGCAGCAGGAACAGTTCATAAGCATCTGCCGTTTGCCAGGTACTGTGCTTTGTGCTCCAGGTGAATCAGAGCCGAGACACGCTGGTGCACTTGGAGGGATGGAGCAAGGCCTCAGGGAGCTACTGAAGCAGGACAGAGTAAGGCCTTAAAAGAGGCCATGGAGATTACAGTGTGGGGCCACACATCTGGTGAGGTGGGGAAGGGGCTGGGGCCCTGGGAAAACCTTCACAGGGGGAGGGAGCGTTGAAGGGAGAGCCTGAAACCTTGTGCCTCAGGCAGGGGGAGCCCCACAAGGAGCAGGGCACCTGAGTGGGGAAGCAAAGGATGTGCTTGTGGCCCAGCAGGTGGTCCTATTGAGCTGGGTTTGAGTCTGCTGCTCGGTGGTCAGTGGGGAGAGGCTGAGTCATCTGGGGCCGTGGGAAGCACCTGAAGACAGGGCGGTGCGTTTGCTTGGAGCTTGGCGCTCTCGGAAGTTTTTGAGCAAGAGTGGTATTTCTGGAGCTCCTAACCCACAGAAGCTGAATTAGGAGGTCTCTGGTTGGCTCCCCACTCAGAACAGTCCATGTAATGCTTTCGACTATTCTGCAGAAGCAAGCAGATCAAGTTTTGGTTATTGTTCTGTCTTTTCCCAGGCGCCAAACATAAGCTTCCCTCCTGTGGTCTGCTGCTGGAAATCGTCAGCTGGCCTTGCAGTGCCTTGTGTTTTTTTTCTCACATGGGTTCTTGGCCAGTTCTCAGGTAGTTAGAGAGGCACTTGGAGGTTTTACTCATCAGCCTCAAAGCTCAGGGCACACACCCCTTTCCTTACTTCCAACAAAACTTTCCTCCCACCTCTGCCACTCAGAAGCCCTCAGTGGCAGTAAACAAGCCAATTATGGAGTAAAACCCTCCTAGGCCACAGGGAGTGAGGAGGCAGAAAGGGAAGCTCTTTACAAAGGAATGGGTGAGGGGAGGGCGCACATCTTAAATCCAGGACTTTGCTTCCCTTCCCCATAGGTAGAGCTCCTGCTGGCTAAGGCAGCCTGCCAGCCCAGGGCACTCCAGCAGGGAGCAAGCCTCAGATGGGGAGGGGAGAGCCTGGAACTGGATGGGTCAGTGGTGATGGGGTGGGATAGGTAGGAGCAGGCCTTGCCCAGTTTGCTCTGAAAAGATGCTCTGGTCAGGACCAGAGTGGGATACTGATACCCTCCCTTTTTCAGAGGGACGGACAGAGTGAATCTCAGCATCAGAACTGAGAAGGACTCGAGTAATAGAAGTCCAAGTGGGAGACAGCCTGGTAAGGTGGCCTCATTGCAGAGAGACTGAAGGGACCTGGACATCTGGTGGTGATGGCACTGTGCTGGGGGAGCTTTGCAGGTGCAGGCCCAGGAACCTGTTTCTCCCAGGTAGCCGATCCTGGAGTAGAGAAGTGAGGATCTGTGCCCTAGCCCCACCCTGCAGCCTCTTGGCCCTGAAAACTTCTCCCATGTTGTTTGGTCAGGAACCTGGTTAGGCCTCACCAGGGCGGCTTCCTGCTCACCACCTCTATGGTCTTTGGGACGGTTGCTGGTGACACACCCAGCAAGCACGTTTGCATCGTTCAGCTTGGATCTGGAGCCAACTGGTATGGATCGGCTTGGCCAGGCTTCCCAGCCCCTGATCAGGAGGGCTGAGCTCTTGTCCGGTGGGAGCTTCCTGGGTCTTGGCAGGGGCATCTTTGGACTCATCTTGTAAAAAGGAAGCTGAGAAAACAGAGCTAGCATCTTTCAGGCCAGAGCTCGGATGAGTGGAATTCTCCAAATGTACATTTTAGTTCACTGGAGTCTCCTTAACAGAGGCTGGTGGTCTGAGCCTGAGCGCGAGCGCTAGCCCTAGCCCTAGCCCTGGAGGGGGTGCTGCTAATTCCGTGGAAACGCAGGCACAGTCTACCCAGGGCAGCATGAAGCCGTGAAGGTGTGAGTGTGATATGATGGTCACCCCTAATGGACACACCCTGGGGCTTTGTGGTTCCATCCTAACTCATTGCCACTCTGGGCTGCCCCCCCGTATGGTCTCTCACAGATCTTTTCATCTGGCATTTACCTTTTTAGTCTGAGGCCCTCTTGGACATGGCAAACACTTTACATCTGCATCTTAAAAGATTCTCTTTACAAATCTGGTGTTGGGAAGGCTTTTGTAGCTAAGAAAAACAAGGGAGCAAGGTTACGTGGCCAGCACTGTCAGCAGCATCAAAACAAGAGCTGGGGGCCTGCCAGGTGTAGCCAAGCATCTCCCTGAGGGTCTTTCCTATGCTTCCGTGGACTCTCCAAGTTGGGTAAGGTCCCTAACCTCTGCCAGAGTCTTTCTGCTCTGCGTGTAATCCTCTTTTAAGATCATTTTATTTCCTCCTTGCTCCCCAGCTTTATGAGCTCCTCGTGGGTAGGGATCATACTTTACTAGTGTTTTCACCACTCAGTGCCTGGAAAGGGATGGGTCTTTAGTAAATGTTTGTTAAATGAATAAATGAATGAATGAATGAACGAAAGAATGAGCAATGAATGAATGACAGACAAGCCCTGCCGGCCTTCTTGCTGTTCCTTGTACACACCAGGATGCTCCCGCCTGAGGGCCTTTGCCCTGGCTGTTCCTTCAGGCTGGAATGTTTTTCCCCCAGATGTTGTAGGCCTCACTCTCTCCCCTCCCTTGTGTCTGCTTCAGCTTCACCTTCTCAGTGAGGCTTTCCTGGTGCCCTATTTAAAACTATGACCTCCTGGGGCTCCTGGGTGGCTCAGTCGTTAAGCGTCTGCCTTCGGCTCAGGTCATGATCCCAGGGTCCTGGGATCGAGCCCCGCATCGGGCTCCCTGCTCAGTGGGAAGCCTGCTTCTCCCTCTCCCACTCCCCCTGCTTATGTTCCCTCTCTCGCTGTCTCTCTCTGTCAAATAAATAAATAAAATCCTTTTTTTTTTTTTTTTAAGACAAGCAGGGGGAGTGGGAGAGGGAGAAGCAGGCCTCCTGCCGAGCAGGGAGCCCGATGCGGGGCTCGATCCGAGGACCCTGGGATCATGACCTGAGCTGAAGGCAGACGCTTAACGACTGAGCCACCCAGGCGCCCCAAATAAATAAAATCTTAAAAAAATAAAATAAAAATAAAACTATAACCTCCCATCCTCCCCGACCTTCCTCATCTCCTCTACCCTGTGCTAATTTTTCTTTTTCTCATAGCACAAATCACTTTCTAACAACTCCGTAATTTACAAATCTACTATGCTGTTTATTGTCTGTTTCCTCTGTTAGAATATTAAGTTCCAAAGAGCAGAGCTCTTTGTATTGTTCACTGGCATATCCCTAGCCCTTAGAATGGTTCTTGGCACATAGTAAGATAAGATCTCAATAAAAGGTCACTGTGTGAATGAATGATCTGTTAGATTTGGGACAGAATTATCCCCTTCCATAGTGCTAGAATGTTGAGGAGCCGATATCCAGGGAACTTGATATTTCTAGTTGCACCGAGGAAGACAGGAGGGGCTCCTACGATGACATATATATTAATGGTTCAGGGACCGAGAAGCAGAGTTTGGGGTCTTGAGAGTGATGCACGGTTCCCCTTTCCTTTGCCTCAGTTTCTGTGAATAGCGGTTTTTGACCATCAGGCATGTACATAGCTTCCCTCATTAATGTGAGTCATGAAGATGCTCCTACGTACACACTTAGAGACAGGCTCCGGGAGTCCATGCAGGCATGGGTCTGAGCTTCCCTTGGAGACTAAGGCAGGCTTACAGCTTCCCAGCTGCTTTGCCTCCCAACTCAAGGCATTTATCATTAGGTATTTATTGAACCTCATACTCTCTGTGCAAGACACGGAGCTAGGCACCACAGGACCTAGGAGTTAGACCATCTGGTTGGCTAGCGCTGTAAGGCCACTGAGAGGCTCATGCCATTTGACCTTGGTCCTTCAACTTACACCTCGCCTCGAACTGTTTGCAGCAAGAAGTGTTGTGGTTGACTTTGTCTACAGCTTGAGATCTTAGAAAGAGGCTCCCTGGGCTCCTCCTGGCCCAGTTGCATTTTTCTTTTACCAAAGATGCCCTCCCAGACCCTGGAGGCAGAGTAATGAATAAACTCTCCCAAGTAGAAGCCAGAAGCTCCAGCCCCACAATGAAGCCCACCTTCCAGCTTTCCGCTGTCCCTCCCTCTGTGACATTCCTGTCCCTCTCAGGCACTGGGCTCATCTGTAGTCATCTTATCTGTCCCCACCTACTTTATGACCATCTAGCCCCCTGTAAAGACTTGGGTTTAAACTCCACCCAGCTTGGTCTCCGACCCATGAGGTGACTTTGGACCTATTAGTGGCCTCATAGAAAGTTAGCGTGTTTACATATTGAAGGGGAAAAAGCTAGAAATATTTTTGTTGAAAACTCCTCCCGTATTTCCATCTGTGCCACATCACACTTCTCCCACATACTTTTTTTCTTCCTGAAACAACTTTATCAAGTCAAGAACAGTGCATAATTTTTGCATTCACTTTTGGTTCCTACCATCTGACACACTTTTAAGTATCTTATTTCCCTCTGTTTGCTTGTTCATTCATTTGTTGCAACAAACATCTAATTTTCTGAGGCCTGTGGTGTCAGACACTGTACTCGCTGTTGGGAGTCAGAGAGGACTAAAACAGCCCTGTTGACAGAACTCTCAAGTCTAGCAGGGAGACAGACCTTGTAAACAAAGCTTACGTTCCCGGTTCAGGTAGGTGCAGTGGGGCTGAGGAAGGCCTGGGCCCGTGAGATGCTTCTGAAGTCGGAATAACAGGACTCGGTGATCACTTCGGAGATGTTGGAGTCAGGACCAGGAAGCAATTGTGAATATCTGAGCTTTCTAGCTAGGGCTTCAGGTTGAT